ACGCACTCGCGCTGTCGAGCATAAATTACCGTGTGGCTACAAGAGTGGCAATCATTGCTTTGACTAACTAGATATATATAACGGGCGGTCTTACACTGCAATATGTTAAAGCCTATTTTCATACTTTATGTTCTATACAAGAAGCTCATTCTTTGATTCAGAGATAATAAAATCAGTCTGTAAATCCCTATATCCTCGAGGTATAAACATAATTATGATTAAATAGAATATGTAAGAAAACATGTTATTTGTTCTTGAATTACAAATTTATATTTTACGTGGATTCGAAAATTTAAAATCAATATGAAAAATTAATAAAAATTAATTTTAATAAAATATAATTTTGTTTTAAATGAAAATGTAGCGAAATATTAAAGCAAATATACGTAATAAGACTCGCATAATAATGGGTAAAAATTTATAGTTCATTGTTCATTCAGAATCAACTTCTAATTTCTATATTTTTGTATATGGATTACAAATTTTAATTACAAATTAAATCAACAGCTAGTATTGTACTTTCAAATCTATTTTATTGGTTTTATGAGATATGAAATATTATATATACAAAATATTATATTTACGTATAAAATTATGATCCTTTTATTATTGAGAAAATTCATTATTAGCATTTTTTAATCATACATTAGCAAAAGTAAGTAGATAAGGTATGAGTATATAATTATGAAATTCTGTTGCATATTAAATATCTATTGAGTATTATGTATCCGATTACGTGGAATGCATCATTGATATTTTAATAGAGAGACTATAATTATTTTCATTATCACCTTACTACTTAAGCGCATAAACCACCACCTAAATACCACATAATAAATAAAAAAGAGTAAATGTGTTATAAAATAGAAGAATTAATATTGAGTAATATAATTAAAATAAGTGTCATTATTAATGAATGTTGACCTAAAAATATTATCAAGTCTAATATTTTATAGTTGCAATTGAATCATGAATAATTATGTTATATATTATACCATGTTTTGTACAATGTAGAATATAATACAAACATATAATATAAATTAGAAATATATATTTCTATGTGGACATATTTCATAAATTTTTTATAATATATCAATGGATGAATAAATAAATACTTGCTAAATTTAATGATTAAACCTTAAATTTTGATAGTAATATGATGATTTGTGCAGATTTAGACATGAAAAACCTGAAATGTTTTATAAAAAGTATCTGTCACAGTGAACTTTATTAATGAGTTGCCTCTGCTGCAATGAAAAGTTATGCTAACTCCCCGAAACATTTTTAAATGACATTGGACGGCTTTAACTCGCGGATGAATCAATCATCCATATTACGTATAAACGTTTCATTGTAAATTTACTAATAATAAAATATAATAATAAAAATAATTTAACATAAATTGAAGTAGTATGCAATAATTTAATTTTTGAAGATTATGCAATTAATATGATTTCCTATGTAATTAATTTTGATGAAATGTAAATAATTATTTTAAATACTTCTTTGTAAAAGTAATAATAATGTCCTGTATATTTATAAATATTTATTTCCTCTTATATTTTTTACGATTTTATTGAGTATTTGCATATTATATAAAAAAAAATTGTAATATGTCAAAAAGTGAGAAGCAAACCCATCAATTTCAATGATTTAGGACGTTTAGGTTTAATAAATTGGCATATTTACAATAAACTCTTAAATATATTTAGTTTTTGAAAAAATATTATTCTACATATTTATATCTACATATTTTAGCTGCTCTACGTATTGTAGCTGCTCACCATTATCACAGTACTTTAAAAACTATCTGTATGAGCATATTATTTAACAATCGCTAAAATAATAGTAATAATAATAATAATGATAATGTAAATAATAATAATCGTCTTCGTCATAATTATCATCATCACCTTCATCATCATGAGACAACTAAAATAACCTAGATATGATATCAACTACTTTATTTTATTACTATTTCAAATAATTACTAAAAATATTTCAAATTAATTGTGTATTATTTAATATAAAAGCTTGTTTTACTCTTAATCGGAATTGTTTATTATTCATAATACATAATGATATTGTTTCATTTAGTTATATGTATATAGATCTAATTTATATATATATATATATATATATATATATATACTGTATCGAGACCAGTATTTGAAGAAAATATCTTATATATTATATATTACATCTATATCTATATATGTCTAAAATATCTATATAAAATATATTGAACGTATATTTTATATTATTTCAAAATTAATAAAAAAAATATGACAAATTGAACGCGTACGAATTTTATAATATGGAAAATATGGTCAGTAAAAAAATAAACGTTATTATTTTAAGCATTAATATTGAATTCTATGAAATTATTAATACCAGTAAAATTAATTATTAATACTAGTAAATTAAAATACAATTTCTATAAATTATTATATTATTTGTGTACATATTTTTTATATCATCAAGTTATTTGTCATCTTTTATGTATATAAGCATCCAAATCATATATCACTAAAAACCTATATCTGTCAACTATAATTATTTAAATAAATTAATTATTATGAATATATTAATATTCATTAAAGATAAAATAACTGATACTGTTTTCATATCATATTAGATGTTTAACTGTGTACGCAATACCATTCATAAAATTTTATAATAAAATCGAACTTTTAAAATCATTTAACGTTTTTTTAAAACATTAAGTTTTTAAATAGAAATTATTATTTTAACAAAAATTGATACAAAATTATTTTTGAGAATTTCATTGTAACAAATCATTATTTCCACAAATGCAGAATATTGTATCATAACTATTACAACTACAACTATTACTTATTTTAATTTAACACTTAGAAACATATTATACAACAAACCTACAATACTGAATAATGAGGGAAATCGGAAAGCATGCCCCTGTCACAGGCACGATTCTCCACACGCGCATGCCCGATCGATCCATGATAAATGGTTCCTATGCTATTCTGCTCATTTATACCGTCATTAGACACACTGCACTCCTGTTAATGATGTGTAGGCGTTGCGCAATCACGTTACTCGATGTGACCATATATATATCCCAGAGCACACACGCATAACAAACATACAAGTGCACGCAAAAGCCCGCATGTACACATATTCATATATACCAAACGTTCAAATGCGTACAAAAATACATATACAGACATAGGCGCACATAAACACAAACGCGCATGGACAAACGCTATTCGTACACACAGGGATTCAGATTCAAATAAGATTTTATTTGACCGTTAACAACGATAGGACGTTGGAAGTATTTATTAAAATAAGAAATATATTGCCTTCGAGTTCGATACTTTATGAATTAATGTTTTTATAATTACATTTTATATGAAAACTTATTGACTATAAAAGTCTTTGAATTACATACAATTCGCATGCAATTTTTTAATATCAGTAATTTTTTTAAGATAAATTTTTAAACTTTTGTATTGTCTGTTCTCTCTTATACAATTCAACGATTAGAGATGACGAGATTGGTAATAAGATAAAACATAATTTATTATATTTCGTTCATATTAATGGATAGTTTATAATTTTATTAATTCGTTTATTAATTTATATGATATTGTTCGCTTGAAAAATCCAACATATAATATTACAAAAATTTTAATATTTCATAACGATTTTATCTAAAATAAAGGTTGCAATAAACAATTCTAACAAATTACTTTTAAATTGTCTTTCGCAACATTAGATTGAAATTTACATTTCCTCCATCGTTGAATTTCTACATTTATTTATCTAGAATTTTAGTAATCGTTAAAAGTTATTTACGTAACATTTTCATCAAACGTTGAAATTAAATAAAAGGAAAAGTGTGTCTATAATCTTTATACATTATGCTATGAGTAGAATATCGAGGATGAGTAATAGTAAATGCAAGTTTGCATTTCAATAAATAAAGTTCATATGTTCAACAATAAGAAATTAAATAATAATGAAAGAGAGTATGATCTCAAAAAACATTCACGACAATATGATGTTCTTTTGCATTGTATATCTCAAATAGATACGATTATAAAGCTAAACGAGCACGTACTAATGAACGTATGTATTCACCTACATAAATAAATAGGTAGATTTGTGCTGACCGTAAATTATGAATGCTGTCGAATACTACACTCGTAGACTATTAGTACATCTATTAATAAATTTCCATTTGATAAATGGACGCACATCTGTGTATAAACATTTTTAAGACGCCGTCAATGAACCAATGCTAAATGAACATAACCGTTGTTATAATTAATAAGAATAATTCAGCATATTATCCATCGTGCATTCTCAATACTTTTAATTATAACGAAAATTGAAAAAAGAAAAAGAGAGAGAGAGAGAAAGTAAGTGAAAGTGTGTACAGGAATGAGGGAGGAAATCAGTAATAAACAAATTAGTAAAACAGTCGTTATATTTATGGAAGCATTTCTCACACAGTCTTAAGAATTTTATTTAAATGATATTAGCGATATAATGTTTATATAATCTTTAAATAGCAAAATAATTATTAAATAGTATATGCAATAGATGCATTTGTGTATCTAATTATGCAATTAAAATTAAATTAAGAAGACTTTTAAAAAATATACTCTATTTTTATTGTATTAATGAAGTATATAATGAAGTATCGAATTATATCTGATTATTTTTTAATTTATATTTTATAATATATATTGATTTATTTTTGTAAATTTCTTTGAATTTCCTAAATGAATTATCTATATTATGTGATAAAAACGTATATATCAAATTGACCCCTATAACTATTTATCGAGGAAAATGTATTAAAAATTAATATTTGTATATTTGCACATTTACCGAGAAAAATAGTCATGAATCTATAGATAAATAGTTTTTCGACTTGTACATATTATGGATATATGTGCAAGTCGTATGCATCCATAGACCAAATCCAATACACACTAGACGCACCCTGGCTATAAATCTCTTGGTTTCTGCCAAATTACATCATTATCTAAAAGCTACAAGTAAATTATATTAATGCATAAACACACGCTTAATCCCTATTGAAAATTAAGAAAAGCACGTAGCACTACGGATTATACATCGTAATGTTATTGACTAGTTAATATCGATCATGACAGCATATTTTTCCTGTGCCCACCTACGAAAGGGCGGGGACAATATTTTTCATCGTCTTCTAGTAAACGTTTAGCGTCAACGGATACGATTTCTTTCTCACTCAGATTACGTGTTACAGAACACACACACACACACGCGCGCACGCGCGCGCGCGCACACACACACATATATATATATATATATATATATATGCATATGTATTAGTTATGTGGGTTTAGCTTTTTTCAACCGGAATACAATTAAGATTTTTTTGAAAATTCATTTGGGACGTAAAATTTCAATTATTATGTCTTCCCATTTGTAGATTTCAAATTAGAAATTTACATACATAAATGAAACTTTAAATTTCTAAATAATAAAATATAAAAAAAAAAATTATGCAAGAATTAATTATTGTCATAGTTTATACATTTTGACAGCATTTCATTAAATAATCCATATAATTATTATAATTGTGAATAAAATGTTCTTTACTTTTAATAAGTATAAGTTTACTTTTAATAATTTAAATAAATAAGACATTAATATTTAAACTTATTCTAAAAGTAAAGTAAAAAATAAATTAACATTTGTTTCGAATTAATATTTTAAAAAGTAATTCCTTTAGAACTTTCAGTATTGCTAAAAAGAGTATAATTTTTTATGTACACAAAGTAATTTGTCGACTACGTAGTTGTTTATACGTATATTTACAGCAATTAATCTAAGAAATATTTCAAGTTCATAAATAATGAATAATTTAATGCCGTAACTCATTAGTCAAATCATTAAATGTTATCCTTTACTAATTAGAATTTAATAAATCTTTTATCTATATCACTATTTCGTTTTTAATCCAATGTATTAAACTTGTAAGCTCGTAATATTATTTTCAAGCTTTAAAAATCAATGATTACAAGGATATTATTTAATCAAGCACTAAATATGTAGTTTATAGTCAACTAGTAAATATAAGTAAATATATATAGTAAATAATATAGCAAATTTGATAATAAGGAACATATTTAACATATATATTCAAGTATATAAAATATATAAATACTATGATAATTGCTTTTATGCATATTACGAATCGATTGCAAATAGCTACCTACCAAACCATCGCAGGTGGACAAAACAACTCTGGAATTCGGCTGGTTTTGAATAATGCCTCGATAATGACATTTAGTCGTATGATTTTTAAATGCACTACGATGACGTATTTCTCGTTTATGCCGTTCCACAATCATAGATCTCCCAATAAAGCTGTTGGCTGGTGCTAACTTCAACTGATACTTATTGCCACCCATTGTTAGGTCATAATATAGATCCTCCATTTCTGCAGAGAGGCCATGTAATTCACCATCTGATAGATGGGTCACGTTGGGAGAGATTAGATGGCCAAGATGCGTTACCTTACGTGGAAATATGATCTCATGCGAATGAATATGTTCTTCAGCTGTGTACAGACCTGTTTTAATAATAAAAAAAGGATTTTAGATAAGAGCTTAATGTCTTGCTGTCTTAATTTAGTGACATCTTGATATGCAAATATATTATCAAATTTTTTATTAAATTAAATTCAAGAATAAAATTATTATAATATTTATTAAGTTGGACGTCGATAGAATTTTTCAATTATAATAAAATTCAAAATAAAATTAATAATTTTGCGAATATACATGAAGATTTCTCGAGTAAATTATTAATGAAGTTTTATATTAGGGTTACATAATATAATATATAATTAGCTGCTATTAGAAATAGAAATTGATAGATGAAATACAAATTTTAGTTTATAAATAATGCAAATCTATAATATATGCTCGGTCTTAAAATTTTAATTTATATTTTAAATTCTAAAATTATATTAAACGTGTTATGCACTTAAAACATTTTCACTACTTAATATTTGAAAATAAAAGCGAGAATTTTTCATTTTAACTTTTAATAGTAATGCACTATCTCTATTTTATTTATAGTCTTTATGAAAGGATATCATTTATGTAAGTGATAAATTTACTAAGAGAATTCTAAATTCAAAGGCTGTCAAATCATTTACTTAATTAATTTTAGTTCATCTGTAATATTCATAGATAAGCTTTATATATATATATATATATATATATATATATATATAATTCATCTAGACGATGAGAATGCAAAATGCCAAAAAAATTTTTAATGTAAACAATTATTTATAGTTCATTATTCCAAGCTGTGACCATCTTTTTCTGTATTTTTTCATTCAATCTATGCGAATGTAATGTTCATATCATAAACTAGTTTCTATATATTATTTGACTTTAATTTTTACTACCACTTCTGATTAAGATTTAAATGAATGTTGCTTTTTAATTATTCCTTACTTTTTTATAATCATAATAATAATTATTATTATTAATTATAACTTTAAAAATAATCCAATTATTTATAAATTACATAAAACTTATTTGGGAATTAATATAATTATTGATATGTAATATTAGAAAAATTGTAATTCCTTCAGATAATAGATTTATTTGATTATTTATATAAAATACAATTTTTAGTCATCTCTATTAAAATTATATAACCTACATACAGTATATTTATACACATCTTTATATTATGAATAATAAGAGTGGTTACGTCTCCCTATTGCTAGACATCGACAGAGATGCTGAAATGTGTACAAACAAATGATAATTGCAAAAAGCAAATGTAAAAAAGGTGAATCATTCATTAATGTAATTATGCAGTCCAAGAATTACGCAAGGTATCATAGTATTTCCAACACAATTCTTGCGAATATCTTTTCATCTAATAATACTAAATTTATTCTACAATTTTTCATAAATTTACTTTATTCTACATATTATATTGAATCTAATAAAAATAATTATATATTCTTTAGTAATACGTATAATGTGATGGTAATTTGCTTTTTTTTATATGGGACAAAATTAGTGAAAACAAAAAAAAATTAAATATGTATGAGATAACAGAAAGTATATGGGATTAGGATTGTCACATTTATAATTCAACCAAATACTCTGACCGAATTCAGATTATACTTATGGTTAATGCAACTAGGCGTAAATATATGCAAAGAAGCGTAAAATTTATTATTTAATCAACAGATCAGTAGTTCGCAAATATATACCCCTACATTGAGTCTTTCAGTATTACTGTGAATCGATTCACGAAATAAAAATTATTTAGATTATGTTTTTATACTCGTAATTCAAGTTATTACTTGGAATGAAAAGTAAATTTCATGTTAAAAATGAAAAATAATAATTAAGAAGTACGTATAATCCATTTTCTTACTTGTTAAAAGAATATTGTATTTCTACTATTAAATAATTCGTAATCATAAAGAGTTTTTTAAATACGTATACCAAGTTTTCATAATATTCATAATATTTAAAAAGCAATATTAATGATATTGAAACCACTGGCTTATTTAATATGTAAATTTTGTTCGTGTCCGTTAAATATTTATTAAAGTTTATAATAATGTTATAACGTCAAATACTTTACATTAGAAAATTTATATCCCAAGATAATATTTATATTATCAATTAAAATTGAAAATTATAGTAAAAATATAAAAAGTTTTAAATTTGTATTCATACAATTTTTAATCTAAAAAGATACTTTATAAAAAATATTAATATGCTCAATTCTACTTCCGATGAATAAAATTTCTTATATATTATATTATATTACGAATATACATTATATTCGTTATAAAATTTAATAATAAATATTAAAGCAATTTTTAAGTAATTTTTAAATAAAGATAACTATAATAAAATAGACAATTATAATTAATTGTATCAATAGTTAAATTCAAATAAAAGTTATGGTGAAATTTATATTATTAAAAAAAATCGGCTTGTCTATATAGATAGACTAATTATTGGATATTTATATTATATATAAATAATTTATTATTAAATAGCTATTAATGAATATTTATTATATATAATAATATAATAAATATATATTTTTATTTAAATTAAAAACACTTCTTAATTCTTAAAATTAAAAATGCCTTTATCATGTATTGTTTTGAAGATTATAATTTAGATATAAAAAAAAATATTAAACAGTTTACAAAAGATATGTTAAAAATTTGCATGTATAATTATATGAATAAGTATAATATATTAAATTTATACTAAAAATTATTAATTAATTCTTACATTATAAATTAATTATTAAATTTTATAATTTTATAATTTAATATAAACACTATCTGCTTTTAATATGCATTATTCATATTTATTAATATGCTTAATTCAGAATAAAAAGTCATAAATTACTTCCAGTTGAATCTATATAACAATCTTATTAAGAAATATGTTCATATAGTTAAATTTTTATAAAGCTATTATACAATTATTCTATCTATTTTTTTTTTTTTTTGAGTTGACTCATAAATTTTATTTATATACAAATAATTTCCTCTGTTAAAAATAAAGAAATATTCTGCTTATTTTATAAACACAAGTCTTATTCCCCAGAGTTCACCCATAAATATCGATTAGTTAGTTTAGCTATTCAGTAATAGAATGCATATTTATTAAACATAGTGACGCAAAGTATTAAAATACTTTAGTAATACTAATGCTGTTTATGTTGCAGTCATATCAAATTACCATATACGAAAAGCATTTTATACATTTACAGGAAATTAAATTTCATTCATTTTATGCCAATTACTACATGAAGACATTTATAAAAAAAACTTTAAAAGAAAAACAATTTTTATGTTTTATTCTCGTTTCAACCGTAACACATTTATTTTAAGATATTTTCAACAGTTTTATAAAAATATAGATGAAGGCATGGAGGATAATTTGTTTTAATGAATAAATATATTTGTTTAAAGAAATAGTATAAATTAATATATCCAAATTAGATGAAAGGAAACGAAATAGAATAATGAGTGAAAATGATTTGATAGAAAAATGTCGTTGAATCAAGTTCGACGCCTATGGACTTAAATTTCCTTTTACTAAAACAGCAGCTCTTCTTCTTCTTCTTCTTCTTCTTCTTCTTCTTCTTCTTCTTCTTCTTCTTCTTCCCTTGAATTTAGTAAGTACTCAGACACTAGCATCAATGCAATTGGACTAAACTTTATTCTCTGTTTTCACAAGAAATCCAGCAGATTACTGTGACTAGATCAACGTCATAATGGCCCGACGCCGATGAAAAATTTGAATGATTTCATTGGTTTTTGCAGTATTAAACGAAAACGTTTTCTATACGTTTATTACAAATACATCAAGAAATAAATAAGTATATAATTTTTTTTCTATAGATAATGGTAAATTAATGAAAAACATTATTTGTAAATAGAAATTTATTTATATTTTCAGTTTTATAAATTTGAGATAGAAATATTTAATATGCAAATATAATACATACTTTTTAATGATTAAATGCATTTTAATTCTTCATTTGACTTTAATTAAATCTGTTATATATATATATATATATATATATATATATATATATTTACTGAAATATTACGTAAGCAGATTAGAATATTACGTAAGCATATTAGAAATAAGAGAAGAAAAAATATTTAAATAGTATACATTAGTTAACCAAACCTACATGGCCATATGTTAGTTTAAATTACAAAAAAAAAAAAAAAAAAATCCAGTTTGAAGTTGTGCATATAACTAATGAAGAATTATGATTATTTTTTTTACATAATAAAAATTTTCTTATGTGTCTAAACAAAAATAAAAAGTAGTTTAACGTTTTAATCAAGTATACTTTTTAAAAATATAATAACATTTATTACTATTATAACATTTCTGGTAATGTAAATATTACTGAATGATAAATTTTTAAATATTTCACTATATTTATATCATTTACTTACATCAATTCATATTTCATACCTAGTTTAAATAAAGTTATTATCTTAAATATTAATACAAATTACTAAATATTTGTTTAGAAAAAAGTAACAATAACAATACATAACGTATAAATATTTATCACTTTCAAACTACTTATTTCAAATAGTGACTATAATTTTATTTTTACTATATAAAACCTGCAAAGAGTATTTTTAATGTTGTTTTTTTTTAATAAAATTAGAAAAAAATTGATAATCAATAACATCACATATTCTAAGTTATATTTAATAAATGTTTTATTACTATATAGTTGCTTTTGCACACAGTCTTTGTTATTATTTAAAAATAAAAATGTAAATTATATAATCAATGTTGATATTTTCAAATCAGAAATTAAATGTCATACATTTTATAGCCTTAAAAATAAATAATCAACACTTTCTTTATCGTATAAATTCACCTCGTATTATATCAAGGTGACTCATTATGTAATAAAGTTATATTACTATTAGTTGTTCATTTAAGCCAAATTCAAATTTTTGTAATTGTGTGAGTAAGAAAGGAAAAATAATAAAATCGTAAACATAAATAATTAATATTTTGG